AACAACCAATGGGTCACAGATGAAATTAAAAAATTAGACAGTTTCTACAATTCAATGATAATGACAATACAACATACCAGAACATGTGGGATACAATGAAAGCAGTCCTAAGAGGGAAATTTATAGTAGTGAATACCCGTATCAGGAAAACAGAGCAATCACAAATGAACAACTTAATGTTGAACCTTCTAGAAAAAAAGAAGAGCAGGCCAAGCCCAAAGCTCATACGAGGGAGGAAATTATAAACATTAAAGCAGGAATTAATGCATTGGAAACTAAGAAAACAATATGAAGAATCAATTAATCAAAGAGTTGGTTCTTTGAAAGATTAAATAAAATCAACAAACTCTTATCCAACCTTATCAAAAAAGGAAAGATGACTCAGATCCACGCAATTAGGAATGAAAGGGTGAAATCACAATGGACCCTGCAGAAATCCAGAAGATTATCTATACCTACTCTGAAAGCTTATATTCTAACAAAATGGAAAATGCAAAGAAAGGAACAGATTCCTAGATACATATGAACTACCAAAGCTGAATCAAGAAGATATACAAATCCTAAATAAATCAGTATCAATCAATGAAATTGAAGGTGTAGTTAAAAACCTACCAACAGAGAAAAGCCCAGGTCCTGATGGGTTCACTGCTGAATTCTACAAGAAATGTAGAGAAGATCTAATATCACTACTTCTCAAACTCTTTAATGAAACTGAAAGGAAAGCAACACTTCCAAATTCATTCCTGGAAGCAAGCATTATCCTGAATTTTTCTCCAATTTGCTCTGCAGTAACAAAAACTACAGGCAATTATTTCTGTAGAGAATTACCAAGGACCTAGATTTCAGCCCTAACCTACAAGGGTTTGTGGAAGCCAGAGCATGAGTCAGAGCTAGAAGAGACTTTTTTTTTTTTAGTACCGGGAATTGAACTCATGGCCTCAGGCTTGCCAGGCAAGTGCTTACGCCACTGAGGTATATCCCTGGCCCTAGAAAAGGCTCTTGCTTTCAAAGGGTGAGAACCAAAACATGCCGTACAGGAAAATCCACAGGTAAGGGCCTGGGATATAGCTCAGTGGCACAGGGCCTGCCTTCCAAGGACAAGGTTGTGGGTTCAATTCCCAGTACCAAAAAAAGAAAGAAAGAAAGAAAGAAAAAATCCACAGGTAAAAGAGAAGCCATTGTTAAATTGCTCACCAGCCAGAACTGACTTCTGACAGACTTTGGGTCCCAATTAAGATAATTTACCCTGTTCTTGTATATCTTGTGCAAGGAAACAAGTCCAGCCATTTCTCTGTTTTTTAAGACAGGAACTTGGTAGAACCACCTCTGAGCTACACTTTCTATGACAGTGAGTTAATAAAACAACAGTAACCTATCTTAATAGCCAGCACCTAAAGAGACCACGTGGGTAAAGGTGTGAGAAAATGTCCTTAATACATCAAGAATATATTATCAGACACACAAGTGTAACTATCACATGGTTTCTCTGCTATGAAAACCTAAAATGTAAATAAGGACCAAAACAAAAGCCCAATCACAGGAAATAGGGAGACAGATCTTGAACGAAAGGAAAGGGGACCAAGATATGGAGGGAGGTGGGCGGGAGGGGAAAGGGACTGAAAAAACAAACTGAGCTATATTTTGGACACGGACCAACTCCCCAGGAGGAACACAATCATTCTGTACTGCAGACACACCAACAACATACACTGAAAAAGAGAGACTTCTTCTTCTAGCTTTACCTGTCACTTACTTGTTTCTGTCCAATCTCCTCGACACTGATCCCTACTGATCCCATTTAGTAAGAAATAGTCGAACAATCGAGATCAATAGTCAGGAATAGAAAAAAAAAAAAAACCACCCAAATCGGTTAGGGATAGTTAATCGTGATCAACGCCAAGCAGCAGAAATAAGGATGTGATCCTTGTTCTTACCGTTTCATTTGCTTCCTGCTGCTTTTCATCAAAATCTCTGATCAACTTCTTCTTCTCCTCTACAAAAGATAGACAAGTTTCACTCATTATTGCTCCCATATGTCTGTAGAGGCCATGCGCTCTAGTTAGGGTAACATTTCCCCTTGGCAGCGGTAGTAAAAATCCCTAAAAGGCACTTGGAAACGTACAGGGCCTTACTATCACCACAGTGACTGTGGACGGGAGTAGTACTGCGGACAGGCTACCAGTACCCAGGGAACAAGCACACATGCTTGGGACAGTCCTGTGTAACAACTGTTTCCAAAGCCCACTGTATCCCTACTAAGAAACACTACAGGTGTACCGTAATCATTCTCAACCTCTTCTCAGACCTCGTCCTGAGGCACCAACCAGGGGTAGCTGCATCAGTAAGAACGTTCACCAATACCGGTTCTCCGAAATCTCTGTTCCCACTTTCACCCCCATGGTGAGTCACTTCTGTATTAACCCTCAATCACTGCCTTCTGCCAAACAAACTCAAAATCCGCTGCCTCTGCTTGCTGGCGTGGTGCCAGTCTCCCTGCTGGGGGCGTGGGAGATGACTCGCACAGTTAGACTCATTCCCCTTTCAGTTCTCTTTTAGCCCTTCCCATGTCATTTTGGTGCTGTCTTTAATACCTAAAAATTGCTAATCTTTTAACAAAACAGAACAAGCTTTAGCTTCAAACTAAAAACATCTAACTGGAGAAGTAAATTTTGCCTTCACTATGGTTTTTCTTTTTTTTGTCTTTTTGAGACAGGGTCTCACTATACAGTTGAGGCTGGCCTTGGGCTCACTTTGTAGCCCAGGCCGGCCTTGAATTTGCAACGATCCTCCTGCCTCAGCCTCCCGAGTGCTGGGATTACGGGCGTGCACTGCTTATAGTGTTTTTTTTTTTTTTTTTTTTGAGATACGGTCTCACTATGCAGTTCAAGCCGGCTTTGAGCTCACTTTGTAGCCCAGGCTGGTCTTACACTGCAATGATCCTCCTACCTCAACCTCCCAAGTGCTGGGATTACAGGTGTGTGCCACCACGCCAGCTCTAGAGTGTTTTTTGAACTTCCATCTTTCATAATAACAGTCAGTCTGGGGAAACAGTCTTTTACCTGTTTTTATTTTTAATTTTGATAAAGAACACAAAATCTGTCAGTTTGACCATTTTAAAGAATACAGTTCAGTGTCATTAAGTGCATTCACACTGCTATGAAATCATTACCAAGATTCATTTCCAGAACTTGTTTACCTCAAAATGAAAACTCCACAGCCATTAAATGCCATTACCATTCTATGAGTTTCACTATTTTGGGTATACCATGTGAGATCACATACTTGTCCTGGGTTTGGCTGATTTCACTTAGCATGTCTTAAAGGTTCATTCATGCTGTAGCATGAATGGGAACTGGGTCTTTCAAAACTATGTGTTTCTTATTCAATGTAACTCCTAATTACAAGCCAGCACTTCTATTGGAGAGAAGAGCAATCTTTTCCGGATGTCAAAGAAAACAAATGGCTGGGCTCGTGGAGAGATGGCCTGTGGGTACCCAATATGCTGTCCTGAGGTTTTTCTGTTTTGCTTTTTGTTGAACCCAGGACCTTATACATGCTAGACAAGTACTCGACCACTACGTTACATCCCAAGCTGTCCCAAGATATTTGTGGGATAATTGAGACTACCCTGGTTTTCATACTACGCCCCAACGTAACCCCACAAGATGCAACATTAACCCTTTATAGAGAGTTACACTGTGTTAATCACAACAGCATTTAGTGTCAGCTGTCTGCTGCTTTTCAAATGATCACGATCATCTGGGATGTGTTAATTCTATGGTCTCAACTTGAGATAAAGCCCCCCAGAACAGGGAAATTTATTTTTCTTTTTAACTTTGTCTATAGCTTCTAGACCTTTACCTCTTATAAATGTTACAGGTACTTCTACAGAGCTGTATTGTGATTTTATAGTGAGCGGTCACGAAAGTCCTCAGTGTCACCATTCCTGTGACACGGTACATCTCCAAACTCAAGCACACCCACTGCTGATCCAAGCCAGACAGTTGAAGCAATGCTGTACAAATGCATACATTTCCTTCCTAGCTCACATTATTCTACAACTGTTAGTTCCAAGGTCTCCTCCTTTATTCTTCCTTTGTTAATAATATGAAGAATCTACATTCTCAATAGACAAATTCCAGAATGAGTCAAGGACAGTAGCTGTATTTTTTACTGGCTTCCCTGCATAATTATTTTATCCTGTCTTTTTGGAATCAGAATATTCTACTTTCTATCTGATCTCATATATACAGTGTTCTAGTCATACTCTACAGCTTATATATATATATTTTTTTTTTTGTCTTTTTGAGACAGGGTCCCACTATGCAGTTCAGGCTGGGCTTGAGCTCACTTTGTGGCCCAGGCTGGCCTCGAACTCCTAATGATCCTCCTGCTTCAGCCTCCCGAGTGCTGGGATTACAGGCATGCACCACCACGGCCGGCTACAGTTTATATTCTTTTAAAAGAAATATGCTCTGCTTGAAAATAATTTGAAGATGTTCCCATTTATGAGATCCTTTATGGCCTCTTAAGATTTAAAGCAAAAAAAAATAGCCTTTGAAATCATTCCTTCTGATGATATGCCAGGAAGGCAAATATTTGTCAAGGCTCCAAAGAGGCTGATCTCAGTAGCCCCAGGGGGCGCATTCCTGTAATCCCAGCACTTAGGAGGCCGAGGCAAGAGTACTGTGGTGAGTTTGAGTTCAAGGTCGGCTTGGGCGACATAATGAGTTCAAGGCCAGCCTGACCTACACAGGGAGGGAGACCTCTCAAAAAACCAACCACCACCACCACCACCCCGCCGCCCCAAACAAGAGGTTGACCTCTATCCAACTGGAAGGGTTCAAAAGCTGCCTCTACCCTTAGAAACCAAGGAACATTAGGGATGGGGGAACCACAGAGGTCACCTAGTCCAATGAGGGTGAACCTTTCAGTGCTTTCAATGATACGAACAGCCCGCTATGGTGCGTGTGCAGTAGGTCTGCCACGAAGCTGGAGCCTGGAGAAGCTTAGCGGCTCCCCCAAGGCTGCACCAGCAGTAAGCGCACTGCGATGTTAGTCCTAGGATGCAAGCCTGTGACTCTCAATGCTTCTGCGCACAACACACAGCTGAGGGGAGTTTTCACACTCCCAGCACACAGCTTTTAGCAACTGCTATTTAAAAAAATATTTTTTTTTGGTTAGAATTAATGCTACAACCAACCATGAAACAGCAGTACTGCCTGGGATGGAAGGGGCACCAGAAATAAGAATGAACCACTCCAGAACCACCACCCCTAAACCCCCCACCTGCTCAGACCTCTCACACGGGGGACTCACTGAGACCACCCCCTTTGGTAATGTGTGTGGGGGGGTGTGGCACAGTCTCCTGGGCACGAAATAAGATGAAAACAGTCGGCCTGGAAACATGAGCTAGAGAAAGCCTACCTCAGCACTGCCCCTGGGGGCCGGGCTCCATTCTTTCCGGGGGTTTGAATTACCAGCTCGAGAATGACTGATCTGGGCCCTCGAACACCATCCTGACTTCAGTTAGACCAGAACCTGAAAGGCTTGTGGTTCATCTGTTCTTGGCGCCCCACGGTGGGCATTCCTGTGACCAACAGCCCCTACGAGCAGACTAACTGGATCTCAGCACAGCAGGTAAAACCATCAGATCCCTCCAAACCATTTCCTCATCTGTCAACAGGGAATATAACAGTACTGACCTCATGGGGTTGTTTAAAGGTTGTTTCAGCTAATAAATAACAAGCACTTAACAAGTGCCAGGAATAATAAGGTTTTAATAACTAGGAACTATGATTATTTTTTGTCCTTAAGTGATGCTGGGGAGGGAACCCAGGACTCTCAAGCATTCGACCACCAAGCTTTATCCTCAGCCTGCTACCACTGTTTTCAACAACAAATCCTTAGGTAGCAAGACCCAGGAACAAAAACAAAATGAAATGAGTATAAACAGAGCTGGAGTAATTAAAGTTCTACAGCCTTCGAGTAACTGCCACTTACCAGCCTGCTGCACACGGTACTCCATAGTGATGAGCTTTTTGTGGCTCACGAAATAATGGGGTCTTAGCAAAGATACTGAAATTTAAGTGAATTAAAATGGGAAACTTTCAATAATTTCATCATATACCACATTCTGACCCACTGAAAAATATCTTCCAGTACTATAAAATAAAAACTAGAAATCATGACTACAGGCACTTAACATTAGTTAGATTAAGCAATTAAAGCATTCTGAGGTATCTGCAGAAACCTCTTCAAATGCTGCAAAACAACCTGGAAATTATGGTGTATGTGCTTACGGCAATATTCAGCGGATTACTACAATATATGGTAATGGTCTGTCACTGCCACAAAACTTGCTAAAATTGCTTCTGCTATCCTGCTCTAGATTCCCGTGTTACTTAGATGACTGCCACCAAGGGTCCCAACATGGTCCCCTACAGCCACTCTCGTATCCTCTATCCAGCCATCAGCACCCTCCTAGATTTAAAGGCTGTATTAATCAGCTGCTTGAATTCCCTTAAGGATCCTCCCTGTCAAGTCCAAACGTCTTAATGCGACATGTAGGTCCCTCCGCAATCCGGCTGTTTCTTTCCCATATATGCTCTAAATTCCATAGCTGGAGATTTTCAACTTCTCATTCCTTCCTTGCCTGTTTCCATTTCCCCTCGGCCTAGCAAACTCCCCTTCGACGCTGGACAGTCCAGCCCCTAATGCTATGATTCTTGCCAGGCTAGTGGCGCACACCTGTAATCCCAGTCCTCAGGAGGCTGAGGCAGAAGGATGGATACGAGTTCGAGGCCAGCCCGGGCTACATGGTGAGTTCAAGACCAGGCTGGACTAGACCCCGTCTCAAAATTCTTAAAAAAAAAAAACAAAAAACAAAAAACAAACTACGATCCTTTCTAGTTATTGGTCCTTCTTGTACTACAAATCCTTTCTCCGTCCAGTGAAAACTGTGACTTTCTGTTGACAATAACGAGTTCAACAAAATACAGATCTAAAAAAGAAACCCATTCTACTGAAGCACAGGACAGCGGATTTAAAAGCCCCCACCCTCCTCTGGCCTCAGGTCAGAGGGGAAGCGAGGAGAAGGGTACACTGGGGGCGCGGGCGGGCCCGAGGGAGACGACAATCGGACCTGCCTCCTTGCGCCCGTGCCCAGTCCACCCTAGCGGGCAGCGAGGGGACCCCGGCCCGGGGACCCTGCCAGTCCTCGGGCGCGCCTGAATAAGCGGAGCGGGTGGGGGCTCCCGCTCCCGAACGCGCAGGCCGCGCTCCCACCGCCGGCCGCCCCCGCCTCACCGGTGCCGGCGGTCCCCAGCAGCCGCTCGGGCACCCCGCGCAGGTCCTCATGGAGGCCGCGGAAGATCTCGTGCAGCTTCTCGAAATGCTCGGAGGAGGCGGTGGAGGCGGCCATGGCGCTGCCGCCGAGACTCCGGGCGCCAGGCCCCTTCCTCGCCCAGCGGTCAGCCGCCCAGCCCCGAAGCCATCACCGCACCGCCGCGCCTCCGCCGCCCGGAACAAGGCGCTTCCGGGGTCGCGCCGGGGTCCTCGGAGCGGAACGCCCACCCCGCTGCCGGTCCCCGCTGAGCGCCGGGCGCGGAAGCCTGCCGGGAAGCCGTGCGGGCCATGCTGCCCGGGCGATGCCGAGGCAGAGGTGGCGCACCGCCGGGGCAGGCGGCAGTGCGCGGCCCTGGAGACGTCCGGCCCAGGGTAGGGAAGGCGCCGCTGTGGACAGTCGGCGGTGACCCGCGAGACGGGCAGCTCGGCCGCTACCTCCAGGACCCGCCAGCCGGAGGGGGGGGGGCGTGCAGTGCATGCCGGGAGTTGTAGTCCGGCCCCGACGCAAGGTTACGTGCTCGGCCTGGCCACCGCGCGTGACGTGATGTCACGTATCTAGACGTCATCGTCGCTGCCCTGGGTTTTGCTTTACCACGTGACTTTCTCAGCTGGTCTGTTAAGTGTTCGCTTTTAGCCCTGGCAAGGTGAGCGTACCAGTCTCCCTCAGGCTGCTGCACAGAGTGCTGTTACTAGGGAGGGCAACGGGCCAGGGTCATACAGTTTGGAAAGTGGAACCTAGGCTGTGACCGCAAAATACGCACTGAGCCTCCGGCGGCCGCCTTGTCGTGCAAGAGATAGTCTCGTGCCTTCGCCTACAACAGGTGTTTACGAAATGGTATTCCGCAGTGATTTGAGCATGTATTTGTTTTTGTTTTGTGCATATATTGGTGAACAAAACGGATTTACTCTGTGGCCTTGGGTAATTTATAATCTGGTGAGGAAGGTGGACACAGCTTTATCAGGTATAATCTGCAAAATGTAACGTGTTAACAGTGATAAAGCCCTCCACTCCATGGGTGTAAATTCCGGTGCACACTGATTACATGGTTTGCGTATGCTCACATGTTTGCTTGGGAACCTAATATTTAAACTGCCCACATGTATTAAAAGGCAAACATATTAAAAAGTACGTGGGGCTGGGGTTGTAGCTCAGCCATAGAGCACTTGCCTAGCATGCATGAAGCCTTGGATCTCCAGCACCTCAAAAAAACCACAAAAAAATGTATACATGAACGCACAGAGGGAAATGCTTTGGTTTTTATCTCTTGGGCCGTTATCTCTTTAGCTGGAATTCACTGACCCAATATTATTCAACAAATGGCAATTTTGTTGAACGCTTAATATCTCTGAGCTCAGTGAGATGACAAAGTCTGAGGTCAGCAGCAGTGTAGGAAGTCCGACAGCACTGGGTGACAGACTAAAGAGGAGACACAAAAAGGAAATAGGACAGCTTGGGCTGGTCAAGAAATGTAGAAAAAGTGATCGCTGAACAGTGTCATACAGGAGAAATAGAAAATGATCAGGTAATCACATCACTCAAATTAATGACATGTGCATTGCAATCATGCTCTAGCTAGATTCTGGGACACATTTATCCATTAGAATGAGAAGTACTGTAATTGCACAGCTGTAATAATAAAAAGTGTTTTGTTTTTTCCGGTACCAGGAATTAAACTCACGACCTTGTGCTTGCCAGGCAGGCGCTGTGCCACTGAGCTAAATCCCCAGTCCTAAAAAGTGTTTTTTATTATAAAAGTTTAATTTTGGTCAGGCATGGTGGCATACATCCATTATCCCATCACTCAGGAGGCTGAGACAGGAGGATCACTGCAAGTTCGAGACCAGCCTGGGCTATAAAGTGAGTTCAAGGCCAGCCTGAACTGCACAGCAAAACCCTACCTAAAAAAAAAAGAAAAAGTTTAATTCTTAGCTTTTATTCTAGTAAATAAAAGCATAATTCGTGCCTATAATCTCAGCACTCTGGGACTCAGGCAGGACAACCACAAGTGTGAGCTCAGCTTGGGCATCTTAGTGACTTAGCAGGACTTTGTCTCAAAATAATAAAAGGGCTGGGGTCTAGCTCAATGCAAAGACCCTAGGTTCAATGCCCAATACCAGAAAAACAACCATGACAATCAAAAAGATACTGCCATTGACAGTTCAGCAAATTAGGTAAAATATTCAGTTATTCAACTGTGCCATTATAAAATTTCCCAATTCTCCCATTAAATGACTATTTCTAAAATATAACTTACTGGCCAAGACAGGGCCAATGAAGATCTTTTACAAATATGAAAAGTGAAAACTGGTCCTATAACTACTTTCCCTACCAAAGTATAATTGTCAGTCCAAGAAAATCACAAACTCTCTTAGCATAACATACTCCACATAAGGGCTGGGAACATTACCAATTCCTCAGACTTCCTTTGGCAGCATTATGTTAGACCAAAGTTTGCCAAATATAGTATAGAGATCATTTTATCTTTTTCCCCCTAGTGCTAGGCATGGAACCCAGAGCGTCACGCATGCTCTAATTCGACAGATTAGGATGTGGCAAGGCTGGCTGGGGAGGAAGGCCTGACCTAGTAATTACAAGACCCCAAAACACAGGGACAGAACAGTTCCCAAAACCTGGCACATGGACTTCTCTTGAGAACTCGAGCAGGTTTTCAATAGGATGCTTGGACCTGATGCCAGCCTGAGGCGTAGTTCTTGCAGGTTTCCTCGAAATTTGCATGGCATAAAAGGACACAGATGCCACAAGAGCTTTCTCACGTGACTTGTTCATGATATCCTGCCCTATTGCCCTTGCATTTTTTTTTTTTTTTCAGTACCAGGGATAGAACTCATGACCTTGCACTTGCCAGGCAGGCACTTATGCCACTGAGCTATATCCCCAGCCCTCTGTATTGCCTTTGGGGCAGACTCTTCTCTTGCTTTTTGCTCTCTTATTCAGCCCAAGCTCACTCTGCAGAGCCAGTTTCTCCCTCATTCTTCACTTTTACTTTTTTTTGTTTGTTT